TAAAACCCGCACAGTGCTTAAGACACTACAGTGAGCGCTTCAGACATGTTAACAGTACAGTGGTACCTCGGCTCACAAACTTAATTTGTTCCATGATTCTGGGGAAGATGGTGCGAGGTCATGTTCATTACCTGATGCAGTTCTCAAAGGGAAGCGAAATTTTGCTGAATACTTCTGTTTGTGAACCAAATTGTTCTTGAACAGAACCATTCGTGAACCGAGGCATTACTATATTCACTTGTGCTGTGTGTGAGAGAAAAACAATAAAAATGAAGGGAGCAAGGTCTTGCCATGGCTCCAACTTGGAAAAGCACTTTGCAAAGCAGACTCACTCGAAGCCCTGGAGCCCACATAGTCTCTGGAGGCGAAGGGAGAGGCTGGTGGTGGCAGTGTCCTCCATTGATTACTACATCCCGTGGTGGCAGGCGGTGTGAAGAACAGGAGAGGGACACGGGGGTGTCAGCCTTGGGTCAGCCTGGTTCTGTGACCCAGCAGCCTCACAAGAAGTTTGGTTTCCCCAGGGGGAAAAGCAGTGTCCTGCCAGCAAGCTGACGTCACCGCTCTTTCAAGACGAAACTAGGACCCAGCTGTTGCAGCAATTAACTGTGGTCCAGATGTGCTGTTGAGGCCCCGTGGTAAACAACAGATCCTGATTAGCCCACAGAACAACAGCAACTGCTCTGCTCTTGGCTGGCTAGACTTGAGGAGTGGCCTGTGGGAAGAGCGAGGCAGAAGGATCAGCTGCTCGCATGTTCGGGAATGGCGGTGCTCATGGGCCGGTGGAGATGGGCCTACAGGGGCCACTTGGCTCTGGTGTCAGGACGAGTAGCTTGTGGAATCGGGGCCAGGACCCTCTGAGCTGGAAAGCTGCATAGAAATTATTATTCTAGCTCCCTTGCTGTAGGGCTGGGAGCCTGGGGTCTGGAGGAGCAATTTTATGTGGTTGCCACATGTTCAAGAGAGCTGTAGAGGCTTGGAGTCAAAACTGGGCCAAAGCCAGGGTCCATACGATTGATCTCTATGCCTGGTCTGGGGTGAATGTGTGCTTGGGGTCTTTTCATTTGTGGCCTCCGTTGGGCGTCAGTCTTTGACTGCTCTCCAGGCTCCTGTTGGGGACCGAGGCTTCCTCTATCCCTGGAACTAGCCCTAACCCTAACCACTCATGAGAATGTCACCTCTGACTGTAGTCTCAACTGCGCCAACACCACCCCATCCCCAAGAGTGGAAGCCCAAGTGGACATTCAGTCTTCCCCTGACCCCAGGAGTGCGGTGGCAGGCTGGGCTGCGGAAGTCATGGCTGGAAAGGAAGGACCTCATGTGGGAGGGAAGTGATCCTGGTGCACCCACCTCGCCCCTCAGGGGTCAGAACCTGCCTAGGCCAAATGGGTGCCAGCTCGGCCAGAGAAAGCTGCCTCGGGAGCACAAGAGGAAGCCAGCACTTTTCATGACAGGCTGTGGGGTGGCCAGCACCTCCACCTGTGTCGTGTGTGACTCCTTCATAGGAAGAGAGTGAGGGGAACCTGCCACGTGGACTGAACCCAGCCCAAGGAGTTCAGGTGAAACAAACAGAGAAAGGATTCAGAGGTCCTTCTATCTCACCTCACTGGAGATAGAAATGTAGACATGTAGAGTCCCTGAGCCACCACCAGGGCTGGATATTATAAGGAGGCAGGTTCTGAACTAAGGGCTCCATCCAAACCCAAACCTCCCTTGGAGGCAGCGATAGGAAGCATCAGGGAAGGCTTCCTGGAGGAAGTTACCACTGAAGCTGAGGCCTGAAAGGTGAAGGGGACTTGGGGTTGAGGAGAAAAGTTTCAGGCTGTGTGGTGGGCCAGAAAGACTGTGGCTGACAGAGGAACCCATAATGATCTCAGTGAGGCAGGGCTTAGTGAGGGTGGCAGAGTTGAAGGAATGTCGGCACGTGGCTCATGTTGGGGTTCCTGCTTTACCCAAGAGCCACTGGGAAACTGGGAAGCATTTCATCCAGGCAGTGACGTGGTCATGTATGCTGCAGCTGGTTTCCCTAGAGGTGAGCTTTGAGACAGGGCTCCAGAGCAGCTGGTTTCTATGGGAGGTGATTCCAGAAAGTACCAGTGGAGGAGTGGGGAGGTTAGACCAAGAAGGGATGCTGGAAAAGTGTGTGTGGTTCCATGAGGTCACCTTTGTGGACAGCTGGGGAACTCTGGGAGCCGTTGTGGAGCATGCCCCTCAGTCGGTGACCAGGAGGAGGAAGGAGGGTTTATCCACCAGCTCTCGTCAGTCATTGGCTGAAGGTTTTTTGGCCTGGACAGTGTGCCCTGCACTTCTGGCTTTCTGCTGGCATGGGCAGAGTGGGGACCGGGGGGGGGGCGCCCCTGCAAGCAGGGGTGCAACTAGGGTGGGGTGGGAGGGGATGTGGGGAGGGAACTGCCATCCCTGTACCCACCAGGACTCTGGAGGTGGAATGCCACTCCAGGTCCTAGAAGGAAGGCAGTGGCGAATTCCAATTATAATAATTTGAGGACGGTTTGCTTATAACAAAGGCAGGGGCTGTGGGAACAGGAGGGACGGAGAGTGTGGTCTCTCAGGATTGGTAGCTGCAGACCTGTGACCACCTTAGGTCTGAAGGGCTGAACCGAGAGGTCCTTCCCAGAATTGAGAAGGAGACATGCAGAGGCCTGGAGAGCTGCCGCAGCCAGCCCACAGCCGCGTCTCCAGGACACCGAGGGGAGCAGGGACCCTAACCTCTGCACTCCACCCTAATCTCCTGCCCTCTGACAGGTCAGACAGGCCAGGCCCTGGGCCAGGCCAGGGCAGGACAAGACAGAGGGCCATGGGAGGTACCTGGCAGAAGGGGCAGTTTTCAGACAAATGGAGGCTCAGATGTGATGAAGTGTCCCAGTGTCCGTATGGGACAGAGATGAATGTGTCACGCTGGGTCTTGAGCAGGGCCTGGGGGCTTTGCTGTAGCTGCCCCTCGACAACAGTGGTCATTGTTTCTCCTCGGTCATGCTATCTCTTCCCTAAGACACCCCATTCCTGATCCCTGCTGCTCTCCAAAGCTGTGCTCAGAGTGGAGTGCCAAGGACTCAGACACCTGGCTCTTCCTGCCACTAACTTTGACCGCTGTAAATCCCTTCCTCCCCTGGGCCTCAGCTTCCCTGTATGTGAAACCAGGACGGCTAGCCAGATGACCTTTCAGGGCTACTCAGATGATCTCCCAGGGCCCCTTCCACAGCACTAGGAAGGCTGGGATCCTTTTCTAAACAGTTGTGAGAAGGGAGTAAAATGAGCATTGTCCTCTTGGAGAAACTGAGGCCCAGGCAAAGGAGGGACTTGGTGAGTAAGCCCGCCCACTCTTGCATTGTGCTTTCCAGAGAGACGTGGCCTACGCCCTTGTTTGTTTTCAATTAGCCCAACAGTTGGCACAAAGAAATTTCACAGCCTCTCTTCTGCCCTTGTTTGTGTGTGTGGCCGCAAACAGAAATGGGTAAGAACAGCAGTTTCACCAGGCTTCTAGCCCTGCTAATGTCTCCTGCTCCATCTGGGGATTTAATCTCAGTACAGTGTCACTGCTTGGCTTTAAGCCTATGGGTCCTGCAGGAACCTTAGATCTTACTTTGTAGGGAGTTTCAAAGAGTTGGGAGGGCTGAGCCAGCTCCTCTGAGCCCCTCTGACTAAGGCCCTGCACAGCTACGACCATAGCTGCCCTGACTCCTGCCTCTGACTCCATGGGCCTATGCCCCAGGCACATGAAACAAAGGCTACTCCATTTAATACTGGAACCTGAGACTATGTGGCTTACTGTGTGCCAAGCTTGGGAGGCTCTCTGAGACCACCTTGTTGGAACCTCGGTTTCCCCAGGACTAGAGTGAGAACAGAGCTTTTCAGCCTATCCAGATGGGTTCTGTTAGAAGTCAGCTTTTCCAAACTTATGGCCCTGGATCAATGATGGCCCACATATATGTTCTCTTTGGCTTGTACCATGTTTACCCACATGGATTTATTTTCACAATGAAATTAACTGCCACGGTTAGAAATCAAATTGAGGTTTCTGGTTACTTGAAGAAATGAGAAGACCTGCCAGCGCTGGGCTCATATTCCTACCCCAGCGTGTTTGGGCTACAGTGGAACTGCAGCCCCCACCCCCAATAGACAAGACATGTGCTCTCTCGCCCACCACAGTCCTCACCCTGGCCTGTAGTCATCCCTCTGCAGCTAAAGACCACTGCCATTTATCACCAAGCTTCTGCTGCCCTTTCTTAGGTCAGGGGACTGTGAGCAAAGTCAAGCATTTTGGATTTCCACATTTCCAACAAAAGTAGAGGAAATTTGTTTCTATTACGTGCCTGCCTGTTTTGCCTCAGTTGCTGATACAGAAGTTTGTCTGTGTTTGGTCCCTGTCGTCACCTGTGTCACAACACCGCCACATAGTCATAGTCATCATAGTCACCATTCCGACATATTTATTGGCTTTCTGTCAAGCTGTGTCCACAGTGACATGGGTCCTGGCAGTCACTGATTACAGGGGAGACAGAGGCAGAGCAAACTGAGAGACTGGGGCAGAAAGGGTCAGATCTAACATGACGCAAAACTTGCTGGGCCAGAAGGGGCTGCAAGAGGGAAGGGCCTTCAACGATGAGCTGTAGGCAGCTGGTGTGGAAGCTCCTGGCTAGAGTTGGGGTCCTTGTAGCAGTGACTGTCCAGCTGGAAAATGTAGGAGGACTAAGGCAGTTTGGATGGAGAGACTCAGGGTTGACCTGTAAACTCAGCTGTGAAAAAAGTCTGAGTCTGCTGGGTGTGGTGGTGACTCCTGTAATGCCAGCCACTCAGAAGGCTGAGGCAGGAGGATCACAAGCTCAAGGCCAGCTTTGGCAACTTAGTGAGGGCTGTCTCAAAATAAGAGCTTGAGAGATAGCTTAGTGGTAGAATGCTTGCTTTGCATGCCTGAGGCCCTGCATTCAACCTCCAGTACTGTTAAAAACAAAAAGCGTGTTCATCACCTGGGATAGGAACATGAAGACAGGCCCCTGCTCCACGGTGAGAACTCCTCCTGTCTGAGCATGATGGGCCTCCCAGAGCTCACTGTAGTCACCACACAGCCCCACTCCGGTTTCCCGGAGGCTCCCCCAGAAGCCCTTGTGGGGCATATTCCATGCAGGTTGGCCCAGTTAGGTGGGTCAGACACCGGGCGCGGTAGTGGAATGTCAGGTCTCCGTGGTTCATGTGGCATGTCTCTTCATGTGAACCAGACATTGGGGAGCGGTCACAAGAGCCGAGAAGGTCGTCATCCCAGCCATTGTCTGCATCCCAGACCTGCACCCTCAGAGGCCCGCCTGTGGGCAGGAGCACGTCCCCAAAGTCCAGCCGGGTCGCCCACCTGGGGTTGTTATTGTTCCACACCGTGCCAGTCCTCAACTCCTGCTTGCCAAAGAAGACCTTCACGTAGGCGTCTGAATCAGTGATCCAGTCCCCCCACAGATTCCTAGCTTGGACGATGGTCACCTCCAGCCGGGCCAGGCCCCTATGGCTTGGACAGCAGTCCTTGGTGGTGACTGCTGAGCCGTGGCACACACACTGGCATAGGTCGTGGGGGCTCTTCTGCTGCCCTGGCGGACAGGGCCGGCTGCAGTCCTTCCAGCGTGCCCTGCCCATCAGGTACTTGCTCAGTGCCTGCTTCAGTGCTTCCCGCCGTGGGTCCTGGGTCTCCACCAGCACGTGAAGGGGCTCCAGGCTATAGTCCACCAGGCCGGGCTTTTTGTACAGTGAGGTCACCCAGGCTGAGAACTGCTCAGGCCCAGCCTTGCTCCCAAACAGCAGGTCATACATGGATTCCTGGTGCCCGCCAACCACTTCAAAGAGGCGTTCTCGGTAGGCCTGGTGGAAGGAGGTTGCCATCTTGTGATGCTTCTTCTTTTCCTCACAAGCCCTGTATTCAGATGAGGAGCTGGCATGGCCGCTGATGCTGACCTGGGCCTCGACATTCAAACAGTCCCCTACGTCGTCGGCCGTGAGCCCCTCCAGGGCCAGCTCACAGGTGCGCAGGGCTGTGAGGGCCGAGATGCGGCCGCCCAGCTCCACGGCCCGGATGAAGTGGGTGCCGTAGTTGGAGATGAGCCTGTGGTAGTCAGGCTCAGTGGAGGAGTTGAGGCGGGGGGGCAGTTCCCGGAGGGCCTTCCTGAAATCAGGGTGGAGCGGGGGAGTGTACACCAGGCGATAACTGCAAGGAGAGAGAAACAGGAGTGGGCAGTATTGTGACCAGTAAATCCTTCCAAATTGTCCAGGGTCACGCGTGAGGACTTGAACCGGGAGCCTGGCTCCAAAACCCAAGCTTGGGGTTACTGGGCTGGCAGGAAGCCTACCCTATTGCTCCTTGGGGACCTAGGTACTTTGTACAGATATTTCCTCTTTTTCAAAATAACTTTAAAAATTTTTTATTTTCCTATTGTAAGCAGAGTGACAGCTTTGGGCGCTGTGATGTGGCCTTCATCTACCCATCTGTCCCCCTGGATCGGGCCCATGTGCCTGGGCTCCTGACTGCTCTGGTCATGCAGGCAGCAGGTGCCTGGCCTCACTGGGCAGGGAATGTGGCCTCCACACTGAGGAAGGACCCCTCTGATTCCCACCCCTTTTCCAGCTGCAGCCCACCTTCCCAGCCTCACCTGTACAGGCGGCACTCCACCCTGTCGGTGCTGAAGCTGTACTGGTCCCGGTGGCTCTTCTCGGCCGCAAAGTTTGCTGCCTGGGAGTGCGAGCCAGCCACGGACATCTGCACGTTGACGCTGGGGTTGGGAGACACATCCAGCCCTGCCTTCCAGTCATTGGTGATGGTGGAAGCTGCCTCGCCGGCCACGGCCTCCGTGGAGCTGACTTCGGCCTTGGACACGTGGTGCTGGCAGCCGGAGCCCTCGGCACGCCAGTGGTCCAGCGCCAGGGGCAACAGCTGCATGGCACCCCCCTGCAGGGCATTTTTACAGAGGGTACAGGTGCCGTCCGGCCGAAGGAACCTGTGTGTGTCCACAGGGAAGGAGTGCGAACGGCGGAGGCTGGTCACATCCACTCCTTCCCCGGCCAGCCATGCGCCTGGCACGAAGTTCCGCTTCTGTTTGCACTCTGAAGGCCCGGCTGTGTAGCAGGGGGCTGGGGCCCGCAAGGGCAGCAGCAGGAGAATGCCCAGGAAGAGCAGGTGGGCAGCCATGGAGCCTGGGAAGCAGAGGGATGAGGGTTACCTGACTTCTCCACCTGCAGCTGTGGACTATTATAAGGAGAGAGACTGAGATTCTCTTGTGCTGTCCAATGCCAGAGATAGATTGTTCCTTGCAGGCTTGGTCTACTTGCTACATTGCCCAGAGAGGGTAAGTGTCTTGCCCAGAGTCACACAGCAAGGAGGAGTCCCTTGCTATTTAAGGCCTAGTGGGCATTTAGATTGATGGCTCTGTCCCCAGGATACAGCTACTGCAGGTGAGAAGGGAGCTACGGCCAAAGAAGAGGAGATAGAGTGGCAGTAGCAGCTTTTGGGGAGGGCCTGGGAGCCCAGGGAAGCCTAGATCCTGAAGAAGTGTCATTTAGTCCCAGAATTGACACCTTTCCTGCACTGACACTTCTGTCTGTAGCTCCAGCTCTGACTTCTCCTGCTGAGCCTTAATGGAACTGGGAAAGAAGTGAGGTGATGCCTTACTCTCCCTGGGAGCATCAGCTGAACTCTGGGCAGGAGGACCTTGGCATTTGCTCTTCAGACCCCTCTTGGTGCTCAGGTCTTCGCTGGCATTTCCTACTGATCTTTGCGCATGTCCCTCGTATTCTAGCTGGGTCCGCCCACCCAAAGGAGTGACTTGAAGGCAGAATCCAGGCAATATGAGGGTTCAGGAAAGTAAGTAGGGGAAGGAGAGTCTCCCCAAGGCCCCACAATCACCCAGCTTAGGAGGCCAGCACGGTCTGTGATCTTAATTAACCCAGGGAATCAGCTCCTCCCTGGTCCCCATCTTACCAGCCCAGGGAGCCTGTTTCTAGTGGTTGGAGAAGCTCAAGCGTCAGCACTGGATGGGACCTTGTAACACCTCTCCATTCACGTATGAGGAAACTGAGGCCCAGAGTGGGAGCAAGGCTGCCTGGTGAGTTAGTAACCCAGGGTCAGGGCCTTCTGACACCGGTCTCTTGTCATAGGGAGGTCACAGCATTTCCTTCCCCATCAAGCTCTACCCCAAAGGGCAGACCCACTCCCTCCCGGGGCCCCCAGGTCCCCCCTCTGCTCTTCCCTACCTGGAGGCCAAGGAGAAGCAGCCAGGACACCTCCCTCCCCACTGGAGGCTGAGAAATGGTGGTGTGGGCCCCCAGCACACTTGCCTCACTTCTGCTTCCTGCCCACCCCCAAACTGTGGCCACAGGTCCCACCAGCACCCACCCTGTGCTCACCTCCCCTTCCGGCTCGTGACAGCCCTCAGGAAGTAAGCTGTGATGGCCAGAGGTGCATCTGCCACACAGGGCCATTTGGGGCGTGGGAACCTGGAACAGTAGGGCGAGCACAGGACTCAGGGCCTTTGTCCTTGAACTCTGGCATGACTGAGCTGGCAGCTGAGCCAGGCATCCCCTCCTGCTGTCTACTCTGGTGAGATGTGGCAGGCGCTGGGCAGGAGCTGAGAGCCGCCAGGGCCCAGGCCAGTGCAGTGAGGCACTAAGCTGTGTGGCCAGGCAGATGCTTTAGCCTCCCTGTGCCTCAGTTTTTTCATCCAAAAATGGGGATAATGGTAACATAGACCCCGGTGGTGGTTGTGTTGATGAGGTGAGTCAGACCATGCTTAGCACAGTACTCAGCCCCTGGCCAGTGTCAGCATACGTGACTCTCCTCTCATCATTAAGCAGCAGGAGTCTACTTCCTGCCCACACCTGCACCCCTGCCCTGCCTTGGGCCTGAGCCCACTGGTGCTGGGGGGACCAGAGGCCCCTCTTTTCCATACTCCACCTTGCCGGATGTCAGGGTGGGGAGGTTTCCATGGGTGGAGTGACTCATGGACACCTCTGGGGGGCAAAGTCACACTGATTGTGCGGTGGGGACGAGTGGGTAACTGGGTGACCAGTTCCCACCTCCAGCTGCATCTGTGACAGGAACAAACAGCCGCAGGCCCCAGACTACGTTTGACCCTGTGTCTCCTAGGTCATATCTCAAGCTCATCCCTTCTGTCTGTGGCCCCCGTGTGCCCGCTGTTACGGGAACAGGGGCTTACTCGGCCTTCTTGGAACTGGTCCCGTCTTCTCCTGTCCCTCGCCCATGAATGGTGGCCTCCTGACCTCTCCAGCCATGTGTGGGGCCTGACAGAGGCTTTAGGGAGTTCAGTTCCTAGCCGTTCTGGGAAGGCCAGTTTGGGGACATGGAAAAGAGGTAAGGTTCTTAATAGGCTCTAGTCCCAGCTTCTCCGGAAACCTGCAGTGTGACTCTCAGCTGGAGATTCTCCCTCTCCTGACTTTCCTTGTCTACCACATCAAGAAGAGGGCCCTGGGATCGCTAAGCACCCCTCAAATGGAGGATGAGCTATGGGGTAGCAGGTTTCCAGCGGCTAAGGTCTAGGACACAACCCTTAGGGTGGGGGCGTGAAAGAGCAGGGACAACAATGAGTTGACACCCATGTGGCTTGTATCGCCCATGACACTGTCCTGTCCAGTTGAAACTTGATGCTCCAGATGTACATGAAGCACTGTTTTTCCTCAAAGGCAAATTTCAAGAAGTGCACTATTTGTTCAATAGCCAGACACCATGGATGTGGTTTTTAAAAATGACTTTATTGAGATGTAATTCACAGCCATATAGTCACCTATTTAAAGCATCCAACTCAGGGGTTTTTAGATTATTCATAGTGTGTTGTCTGTCCATTGCCACAATAGATTTTATTTTATTTATTTTTTAATTTTTTGAGATAGGATCTTGCTATGTAGCCCAGGCTGGCCTTCAACTCATGGTGATCCTCCTGCCTCAGCCTCCCCAGTGCTGGGATTGTAGACGTGCACCACCAAAATCTACAATAGATTGTACAACTTTTTTGTTAGTCCCCAGAAGAAACTCTGTAACCACTGGCAGTCAATTCTCATTACTTCCCACCTATTTTCTAACCTAATCTATTTCCTAATTCACCTCAATTGTTTTTTCTATTTTTTATGTGTCATATAAATGGAATCATACAATATGTGACCTTTTATGTCCGGCTTATTTCACTTACCATAGTATTTTCAAGGCTCATCCATGTTGTAACACAGAACATACTTTATTTCTTCCATGGCTGAATAATATTTCATGTGTAGACATACCATGTTTTGTTTATCCATTGTCAGCTGATGAGTTGATAGGCATTTGTGTTGCTTCTTTCCCCATTTTTGACTGTTATAAATAATGCTGCTATGAATGTTGTACATAAGTTTTTTGTTTGTTTTTGTTTTGGTCCTGGGAATTGAACCCAGGGCCTTTGCATTGAGCTATAATCCCTATACCTTTTTAAATATATATATTTAGAATTTTGAGACAGGGTCTCTGGAAGTTGCCAAGCTGCCCAGGTTGGGCTCAAACTTGCAATCCTCCTGCCTCAGCCTCCCAGAGTTCTGGGATTACAGGTGTGCATCACCACACCTGTCTGTGCACAAGTTTTTGGGCGAGCATATGTTTTCATTTCTCTTGGGTTTATACCTACAAGTGGAATTGCTAGGTCATGTAGTAACCCTATGTTTTATTCTTCTAGGAACTGGCTGGAAAAGTGACTGCACTGTTAAACATTCCCACCAGCAGCGTGTGAGGGTTCCAGTTTCTCCATATCCTTTCCTAACCGTATTATTATTATCCTAGTGGGTATGGAGATTTCCCTGATGGTCAGTAAGCCTGAGTTATTCACGTGCTTATGGGCCATTTGTCTATCTTCTTTGCAGAAATGTCTATTCAAGTTCTTTGCCCATTTCTTATAGAGTTCTCTTTTTACTGTTGAACTGCAATAGCTCTTTACATATTTGGATTTTAGATCTGTCTCAGATATATGATTTGAAAATATTTTCTCCTCTTCTGAGTTGTCTTTTCACTTTTTTGATGGTATCCTTTCAAAGCACAAAAATGTTTAAATTTGATGAAGTCCAGTTTATCTATTTTTTGTTGTTGTTGCTTATGGTTCTAATGTTCTATGTAAGAAGCTGCTGCTTAACCCAAGGAGATGAAGACTTACTCCTATGTGGTCTTCTAACAGTATTACAGTTATAACTTTAACATTTAGATTTATGGTCCATTTGGAGTTAATTTTTGTGTATGGAAAGGCATCCAGTTTCATTGTTTTCTATGTTGGTGCCCAAATGGTTTTGATAGTTTTTTAAAGTTACAAAATATCTACTTTTGATAGGAAAGCTCCATAGATACTGGCTAAGATTTGAATGTTTGTGTCTCTCCAACATTCGTATTAAAACTTAATCCTCATGCACACTCATGTTTAGAGCAGCACAATTTATAATAGCTAAATCTTGGACATGCCCTATATAGCCCTCAACAGATGAATGGACAAAAAACATGGTATTTGTACACAAATGGAGCACTATTCTGCCATAAAGGAGGATGAATTTTAGGCATTCTTAGGTAAATGAATGCACCTTGAGACCATAATATTAAGTGAAATAAATCAGACACACAACCTTAGACATTGCATGGTTTTTCCTAACTGAGAAACCCAAAACACACATAAAGAACAAAATAAAAGATAATAGGAAGTAGGAAGATCTTTTTCAAATGGCAAGAGGACCAAGAGTTGGAAGGAAATGGGAGGGATGGGAGGGGTAAGGAACAAAAACTAATTGGGATGTGTTATGTACATGTACCAACTCCTCATGATAAATAAAGTCATTATGTACTGCAAATGTGTACCAATAAAAAACAACTTAGCTCCCAATGCAATACCAGTAAGTGGTGGGACCTCTCAGAGGTGAAGGGGATTGGGCCCCTTGTGAAAGGGTTTGAGGAAGTCTCCTAGTTCCACTTTTCCTTCTGTCCTTCTGCCAGGTGAGGACAGAGCAGCCAGGCGTCATCTGTGGAACACAGCAGAGTCCTCACTGGATGCTACATCTGCTGGAACTTGGATCTTGGATTTCCCAGCCCCCAGAACTGTGAGAAATAAATTTCTAGTATTTATTTTTTTATTTTTTTATATATATTTGTTGGTACATTTTAGGTATACAATACATTTA